ATTTTCTGCCCTTTAGTTCTAGTTGTTTAATTCCTTATTGTTATTGCTTCCGCATTTACTTTTCAAATTCTTACTCTAATTTGAATTCTCGACCTTGTCGTTATCATGATCCCTTCATTCTAACTCTTTCTAACGGCTGGCCGAGGCGGCGATTAATTAATTCTCGCCACGGCCTGCCTATCAACTACAACTCCACTATTATTATTGGAAATTTTCATCATTTCATATTGTTATTGTTGCTGCGGTTTATGTTGTGATAGTTGTCAATATGGGGGAGGTCATTTCTAAGAACCCTGAGAAACACGTGTCATCGTCGCCATCTTCTAGTGAATCGGAGCGCGACGAGTTGCAACTGTTGGAGCACGCGCCACCTTTTTGGAGGAACCGAAAGAGGTTATCCAAGCAACTTTCTATGTGCGAGACTCCACGTGATATTGCATGGGAGAAACATCGTCGTCAAATTCTCCTCCAGGAAAGGAGGAAACAAGGGATTCACGACCCTGGCGACTTGACCGACGAGAACCTCAATGAACTCAAAGGCTGCATCGAACTAGGATTTGGGTTCAACGAAGAGGAAGGTCAGAGGCTATGTAGCACGTTGCCGGCGCTCGATCTTTATTTTGCGGTGAACCGCCAATATTCCACAAGCCCAATCTCGAGCCACAGTAGCAAAAGTTTATTACCCTCTCCCGCTGGATCCAGCTCGTCGTCGACATCTCTTGGAGGTAGGTCCTCCTCATTTGGAAGCCTTAGGAGTGACTCCGCAGATGCATGGCGAAATTTTAGCCCGGATATGGCTTTTCTCCTAAGAAAAAGACTCAGGTTCCAACGTCAAATCTCTAAGCAAAAATTATATTAATAATCAAAAGAAATAGTAAGTACAGGTATGAATTTATCCTTAAATTTAAAGCCAAGGGCAAAGAGGAATGAAGAATGTAACAAACATATATATACACACGCAAAAGAAGTGGAATTCTAGAGAGAAAATAATTTCTAGGAGGGGATTAGAATAACTTATATAATCCTCTCCCAGTCCCACTTTATTTAATTAGTTCATTTTGTTTGACTATCTAAAATGAAAACTTGAAACAACATCTGTGTTAAGAATGAGCATATATTTGTTCAATTTTCTAGAATTTTGTAACTTACTGCTCTTCCATTTTTGTTTATAAGATTGTAGTTTATTGGACAAAGTTAATAAGATGACAATTAAAAGTGTTTTATTGATAATATGCGCAGGAGATGATCCTCAACAAGTTAAGACAAAGCTGAGGCATTGGGCACATGCAGTGGCATGTTCTGTAATGCAGTCCCATTGATAGGGTGGAGATGGATTGTACAGAAAATAAAAGTTAGTCAAAACCTAGTCTTATGTCAAGAAAGAATGATTTTGTTTTCTCAATATGCAAACATTATAAATGGAACAGAGCCTTTCCAGATTGTTAATCATAAGGTAAGGAGTGGAGTAGTTTCATAATTTGTTTGGAGAGAGATAACTTTTAATTCATTAAACAGTAAAGGATACATTCAAAATGCTCAAAGTTATCTGCTTAGCTTTCTGGATTTTTGATTCCCACAGAAATCTGATTTGTTTTCCTTCCATATATCAGCAGATTTTTGTTCTTATTTTTCCTTTTATATTTTTATTGGGAACTCAAAATTAAAAACAAAATGGTATGAACTATGAAAACCGACAAAAGGAGAGATAAAAGTGCTTCGTTAGATCTGCAAAAGCGACTCTGATGCAGCCTATGTTTAAAATGGGATGTATATGAAAGTTATATGAATGTAGATTTTATTTCTTTTTGTCATAAGTATCTCGTTTCTCTGTTTAAGTTTATGTACATGTAGAAAGTTGAATGATATTGTCTACCTTGCTTACCAATGAAATGAAATTTTGTTCTATGGATTTTTGGTTGTCATAAAGGAGGGAATGAATTGAAAGGAAACGATAAGAGAAGCCATAAAAAAATAAGGAAAAGATAGTACGAAAGGCACTTCCTTTATCATGAGTTTAGCTTAATGGATTCCCAGGGGTATGACCAAGAGAACCCCACTATTTTAACCTTCATAACCCCAGCATCGCCAACATCATGCTTTAGGGAGAGAAACAATAATAGCATGATATGTAGATAGCCAATCCTTACCCAAAATCACCTCAAAGACGACCATACTAAGCAACAAATTATTAATGCTAGTCGGATAACCTCCAATAATAACCACACAAGACCGATATATACAATCTACTACAATAGAATTACCAACATGTGTAGATACATGGACATGAATATCTAGAAAACCACGAGGCCTATCCAAATAAGGATCAAAATATGATGACACATATGAATAAGTAGACCCCGGATCAAACAACACAGAAGTATCTCAATGACAGACCGAAACCATACATGTGATCACTACATTCTAAGTTTGACTTTGAGTGTGCTTTGGTGTTATCGGACTCCAGGCGGTGTTCCAGGACCTCAGATAGGTTCATTTTAATGATTGGAACTTGTGCGTGAAGTTTGGTCATGGTCCGACATGTCTAAGTGTGATTCGGACGCGTTTGGCGAAGTTTGAATATTCGAAAGTTAAAAGAGGTATTTTGATCATTGATTCGTGGTTTTGATGTTATTCGTGGCATTTCGAGTCTTTGGATAATTTTGGATGAGGTATTGGGACTTGCTGATCGGATGGGGTCCCGGGAGCCTCGAGTGTATTTCGGGATGGTTTTGGATCATTTCTTGATGTGTTGCAGTTGCTAGTTTCTTGTGTGTTGGGTATGCATCACTTTCGCGGATGGAGGTCGCAATCGTGAAAGGTTAAGTGGACTGGTGAAGACTTTGTTCTTCGCGATCGCATAAAGGGTGTCGCGATCGCGAAGCTTGATCAGGTTGTTCTTCATGTTCGCATAGTGATGATCGTGAACACGATGTGTTTTGGGGGTTGGCTTAGGTTTGGGAGGTTGTTCATCACGATCGCATGTCTTGGATCGCAATAGCATAGGATAATTTCTAAGGTGGAGGTTTTGGCCTTCGCGTTTGCGTAGGCTTGGACAGGCTAAGCTTCGCGATCATGAGAGGGTCCTCATGTTCGCGTAGGAGGATTTAGTGGGCGAGGCAGGTCGGCCTTCGCGATCATCAGGGTGTTTCTGCCATCGCGAAAAAGGAATCGCTGGGCAGACTTCATTTTATTTTGGGACTTGGCTCATTTCTGTAATTTTTCACTTAGGTTGTGCGGTTTTTGGATCTCTTTGATGGGAGATTTTCATCATCTATTATAAGGTAGAAGAAAACATAGAATGGTGTTTTTTGTTTTTTACCACAAAATTGGATATTGAATTGGAAATAAATTATATATTTGAGTTCGTGGTGCTATGGGTAATGTTTATTTTCGAAGATTTTCACAATTCGTGCACATGGTCCCGAGGGTTGACTTTATTAATTTTTCGAGTAGAGTTGGGAATTATTATAAATTGTTAAATTACGAGTTTTTGAGTATATTTTGATTGGTTTGCACGTTGTTTGACTAGTTTCGGATCATTTGCCATTGATTCAAGGAGTTAGAGAAGCGTTCAAGCTAGTTATCGGATTTCGGAGCAAGGTAAGTCTCCTGTCTAACCTTGTGAGGGGAAATTTACCCCATAGGTGCTATAATTATTATATGCCACATGTTGTGGAAGTTACGCAAGTATGTGGTGACGAGTGTCCGTGCATACACTAGAATTCCTGATTAGGTCCGGGTAGACTTAGACTCACGCTTTGCTGTAATTGTAATATTTGAGTTATTCTTGCATGTTTAAATACTTTAAATTACATTTTTGCCTGAGACTAGATTTGCGTAAATTATCAAACTTGCAATTTTAGATATTTGGTGAGCTATTTGATTAGTAGTAGAGATTATACTTCCTTTTACGGATTGCTCCTCTGTTGTGTGAAGTTTTTCGAAAGTTTCTTGAATTTCATAACTCACACATATATTCATGAGTGGAGCGAGTGACCTGTCAAGTTTCACTATTCCTGTGGGATCGAGCTGAGCGCCTCAACAGTAGCATTATAGGATCAGGCCGTTCGCCTCGGTAGTATTATGAGATGCATCTATGGTTCGTGCCGGTATACCCTCGGCAATGTACAAAATTATGGAATTGGGCTGAACGCCTCAGTAGTACTAATATGGGATTGTGCCATAAGCTACGGTAGGAAATCATGCCATTATTCTTATAGGAGCGGGCCGTCTGCCTTGGCGGTATCGTACGAAATACTTGATAAGGAGTCAGCATACTTATGAGTTTTCCTGATTTGAGATGTGACCGTTTATTTGGCGTTGACCACTATGTATTCCATTTGATGAAGTACCCGGTATTTGAAGACTTCATATTTATTCTTCTGTTGAGGTTCGTGTTATTCACATATATCTGTTTCGTTGCTTTTATCTGCTATGCCTCATACCTATTTATTTTTGTTATACTTGATTTATTGGACCACTAGTAAGTGTCGATGTCGACCCCTCGTCACTTACTTCTTTGGGGTTGACTAGATACTTAATGGGTACGCGTTGATTTACATACTCATACTACACTTCTGCACTGACTGTGTAGATACTGAGACAGGTACATTTAGTGGTCATCTTGGCGCATCGGGGCAACAGCTGAGGAGACTTTATGGTGAGCTGCATTCCATGTTATGATTCACAGCAAATGGAGTCCCCATCATATTCATTTATTTCATCCTGTCTATCTTATATTCCAGACAGATGTTGTAGTAGTATTGTACTTCCTAGTAGATGCTCATGCACTTGTGACACCAGATTTTGGGGATATAGATTCTCGTTCTTGGTTGTATTACTATATGATATTCAGATTTATATTTCGAGCTCCTTTGAATAATTAATAATCTATTAGTACTTTTGCATAAAAACAAAGATATTCTACTCATTTACTTCATCATTTGTTATAAAATGTATTGTGGACTAGCAATCGGCATGCGTTAAGTTGCTGGCTTGCCTAACGACATCGATGGGCGCCATCACAGCCTATAGTGGGATTTGGGTCATGAGAGTCTGTACTTTTCTTCGAGAAGCTACAGGACTATTAGGAGAATTTCCCTTTTTTGATTTCTTGTCGTGCGATTTGATTTTGTTAAAGCTTATGTCTTTAGTTCCTTCCTACTCATTCGAACACGATGTTGAGCACGTGTTATCAATCGGGCATCGAGAAGTTGTGATGGTACTACAGATATAGTGCAGGATGTTTTTCCTTGCGTATGTGGGCATACTATTATCGTCGCCTTTTGGAGGGGTGTTCTATCGTTTCAGCCTAGTGTTAGTGTTGCCCATGGTCTCAAGGCTATACATATTATATTGAGATGATCATGCGTTGTTATCGCGCAATATTAGTGTGAACGGTAGGGTATTTTCTTATGTGTATGGCAGTGAGTGCTTCAGTAAAGGGGTTATTTGGTTCGTGATTGGAAGATTCCGTATTCAATTCCAGTACCGGAGAGGTAATTGGGGGTGTTCAGGCCTTGGCTGACGGAGTAGCGAAATTTGATATCCCCGAACTTGGTGGAATTTTTGTCTATGTTGTGGTGTCGTCGTCCTTGTTTAAGCCCATTAAGGCTTGTCTGTATGGTGGTCTTCATTTGTTTTCCTTTGGGGCACGATGTTGTAAAATGGTACTTCAGACTCAATTATTAAGGATGGCAGTGTATTGTGACTTCTGGTTCGGATCTGTGTTTCTAGTGTTGATGGCTCGAGGGAGATGATCCTTAAGGAGGCTTAGAGTTGATGGCAATCTATTTGTTCGGGTGCTATGGAGATGGATCATGATTTAGGGCGGTATGATTGGTGGCAGATGATGAGAAAGGACATGGTAGGGTATGTCTCACGGTGGTTGAATTGTTAGCAGGTCAAGTACGAGAAGCATAGATCGAGTAGTTTGCATAGGAAGATGGTTAACCCCGTGTGGGAGTGCTAGTATATCGTAAGGATTATTTTGTGGTAGGATAGCCACATGCTTTGAGAAAGCTTGTGGTGGGATTTGGGTCATGGTGAACAAATGACTAAGTCCGTGTATTTCGTTTGGAGTGGTGGCTTCTGTACTCAGGAAGTTCCAATGTGACGAAAGAGTTTGCTTGGAATATAGAGGAACACAAATGCTTGAATATCGTCTTGGGGTGTAATATGACTTAGAGTTTTAAACGTATTGGCGGACCTTTAGTTGATGTTAATGTAAATGAACAGATTCTTACAGCTGGTGGACGGGTGTGGACTCAGGAGGATTAACTAATTTCGTAGTGGTTATGACTATGGCAATGCCGTTGGA